CACACACACACACACACTAAACTAACAGTAGAAACATTTTCAGATTGGCAACTCTGATGATGAATGAACTCTAGAGTGATGGATGATTATGGGGTTTTCTTCCAGCTCTGCAGACCCAGAGTGGTGTCTCCATCATCAATGGCAACTGGGTAATTGACAGGCCGGGGATTTTTACTGCTGTGGGAACACAGCTGATGTACCAACGACCCAATGAAATTCGCTCTCGCAATGGAGAGTCCATCACTGCACCCGGGCCACTGACTGAGGACCTGCATGTTTACGTGAGCTGCACACACAATGGGAGCAGCATCCATCCAATGTCTCTTATTCAGACGCACAAACACATACACAAATAAAACTCCTACATTTCATTATATACATGTACCCCTCTCTCCTTTTCAGTTGATCTACCAGCAGCCAGGTCCCAGCGTATACTATGAATACAGCTTGCCTTTACAAAACACACACCCAACTCCTGAGCCAGATACACCTTCTGATATTCTTCCCCTGGGTGAGTGCGCACATAAACATGCTTAAACACATTTGAGTCTATATTCGAGTGACCCTAAATGACCACAGTGTCATTTTCTCACACTAAATATTCTGGTTTGCCCCCCAGGGAACATAACACATAACAGATGCCTCTGTTTGTGTTTGCATGTACAGTACAGTGCGTGTCTGTGTGTTCAGTTCAGATTTCACTGCAGGGCCATGGTAAAGCCAATATGTATCATTTTCAGCAAAATTGTCCTTTTGAAAATTTAATTAGAATTTTGATAATATTTGAGACAGGCAGGCGGCCAGACTTCATTCTGGCAAAGAGCTTTTTACCGCACACTAAGGCAGTAATCGGCCAGATTTAATTTCATTACCTGATATTTAACCTTCATTAAAGAGATTAAAGAAATTGCTTGATTTGTGTCTGTTGATGCTGATAAATAAGTATTTAATTACCAGAAATTTCCTAAAGTATCAGTATATCAGTAATATATATATATATATTCTTAAAGGCCCTGCACATCCACACACATGTGAATATCACCATCACCAAGTGTCCAAAATTTTAAAAAGCAAATAAATAAATAACGAAATAATTTTAGAATAAAGGTGTAATTTGTCCCACCCCAAACAGGTAAAACAAAGAAAACAAGAGAGGGAGGGAGGGAGGGAGGGATTCTGTGTGCCTGTACATCGGCACACAGATCTGAAAAGAAAGTCTAATGAGCCAAAATTAGTGAAATTGCCTGTGTGGGTGTACCATAGATGGGCAATGCCTTTCACATTCTTATATTTTATTTTACTCCATTACCTTTATCTATCCAACATTATAAATGACTTTACTGCCTTTATTCCTTTACTTGCCTGTCAAATTTGAGCTCCACCCTCAAACCTTCCACTCTCTTGTAGCTAAGACAGTAGACCCACCCCACTCAGGTGAGGAGGTCAACCAGGGCGACGACATCATCAAAGAGAAACCCCACCCTAACCAGGTTCCTTCGGAGCCCAGCGTGAACTCTGACCCTCAGCCCACCTACACCTGGACAAAGAATGGGCACACAGAGTGCAGCACGACCTGTGGCACTGGTGAGGAAACACACATAATTCAAAGAAAGGATGACCGCACATTGAATTAATACTTGTATGCTTTGTTCATGAAGCACTTTTTTATTTGTGCAAAAGATCTGGCTCATTAAATTTGTGTGCAGGCACCCTACTTTACTACTTAATTGCTGCAAGGGAACATGTATAAATAATAATAAAATATTACAAAATCAAAGATGACACACACACAAATGTAACTGAATGCTGTTAACTAATAACAGTAGCTGTCACACACCCAAATGGCTGAGATTGTTGGCAAAAACACATCTGCCTCGTACATTATTACAATGGATGACAACTCATTTTCTGTCAGAATGTGTTTGTATACAGTCACATTTTTTCACTTGCTTATTCTTTTTTTCTGCATGTGTGTACGTGTGTGTCTGCACACTTGCCAGGGAGGCGTCAGGTACTCTGGGAGTGTGTTCAGAAAGATTCCCAGGTGACTGTTTCTGCTGACCTCTGTGACCCTGCCCTTGAACCAACAGACCGGGAAGAGGACTGCAACACTCAGTCCTGTCCTGCATAGTGAGCAACACACACACACACACACAAACACACACCTGATGTCCCATGTCACATACGCAGAACGGGACACACACATACACGTAGCCTCCACATGGTGCTGTGACTCAGGGTGAAGTTTTCATCACTCACACACATTCCAGTCTTAAATCAGTCACAGTCAATCACATTGAGTCACTTTGGTGTGGCTTTGGTTTTCATGTCTTGTGGTAAATACCACCAGATCTTACAGTCGCCAAGATGTAGCGGGGCGTTAGTGCATTAACTTAATGTTTGGTTGTGAGACTGTCAGATATATTTCGCCCACACTGTCAGTGATCCATGACAGCTGTCAGTCTGAATATATGTTTCTATTGGGAGCGCAGCAGCGAGATTGCAAAACTTAAACTCTAGTTGCAATAGAATGAGGAGAAACATTTGAACTTGTGCAGCAGAAATGGGCTTATTTTGCTTGTCTCGTTTATGATCTCCTGCTGGAGGAAACTGCAGGCTTTATAATCCTCCTTGTAGACCAGGGTCAACTGACCACACACAATAATAATATGTAACAATAATAGTACAATAATAGCTATAAACTATGCTTGAGGAGGGTCATTGCTAAACCCATGTCTCAATACATAACCACTGCAAGCTGCTCTTTATTTCATCTAACCCACTCTTTGTCCTCTGTGATTGGTTGAAAGCTGGGACGTAGGGGAGTGGTCAGAGTGCAGCAGGAGGTGTGGACCCGGCACTCAGCACCGCCAGGTCATCTGCCGCCAGGTCACTCACATTCATGCCAATGGGACGGAGACCTCAGTTACCATGGCACCAGAGCTGTGTGGGTTGTCTGACAGGCCAGTGACCAAGTCTACATGTCAGCTGAAGATTTGCAGCCAGTGGGAGATACGATCTGAGTGGAGCCCGGTGAGGACACGAACACACTATTACTAGTACATGACTGAGAACAGTTATGAGTTAAATACTCAAAACAATACTTCCAAATTGTATGTAAGTACAGTGCTGCAGTCATTAACAGGCATTCAGAAAGACTTATTGCTCAGATCTGATTGTTTTTTGTTTGGCTGTTTGCATAATGTTTTTCAACCTGTCTCTGATTTCTGACAAATCAGAATTGAAAAGATCAGATTTCATGTGATTTGTGCTGTTCACACATCTGAGTCACAGTGGCGATAATCTAACCATTACTGCTAAAGCTACAGTAAATTGAAGCAAAGTTACACACGTATTAATGAACACAATTGAATACTGTCCCACCTTCTGTCCTCCAGTGTTCAGTGCCATGTGGGGTGGGCCAGCGCAGCAGGGAGGTGGTGTGTGTGAGCAACCAGGGTGATGTGGAGGAGGATGAGGAATGTAACATGAACCTAAAGCCAGAAACACTACAGAACTGTGACATGGGAGCCTGTGCACGCAGCTGGTTCACCTCCCTCTGGAGTCAACGGGTAACACAGAAACTGTTATGGTGTGTTTGTGTGTATGTGTCTGTAAGTGACAAGAGAGGGAAGAAGTTAAATCATGTTAAAATCTATGTGCGTGTGTATGACATTCCTCAGTGCTCTGCAGAGTGTGGTCAAGGCAATCGAACCCGGACGACAGTGTGCCTGATAGATCACGTGACTGATCTCCCATTGGATAGCTGCGAAGGGGAACGCCCACCAGAAGTGACATCGTGTGACTCAGGCCCCTGCCAGGACCGCCTGGAGTGGTACACTGGACCCTGGGGTCAGGTAATTTACATGCACATATATATATACTCAATATATGAAAACATCCATCCATCCATCCATTTGAAGCTTTACACCTTATATTACACACGTATGTCTGTGTGTGTGTGAAGTGTTCTGCAGAGTGTGGGAACGGCACACAGACCCGGAGTGCAGCTTGTATTTTCAACAACAACGGTCGCATGGAGGTTGTGAACCAGTTTAAATGTTCCAGTCTCTCTCAACCAATCACAACTCAGCCCTGCAGACTGAAGCCATGTGGCATCCAGTGGTATGTCACAGAGTGGAGTGCAGTAAGTGTCCCAAAGTCTGTCCTTCTATCGTGCAACTCTTAACTAACTCATACCTGTCCTCATGCAAGTCATCCATTGCTTTCAAAATAATGTGACAAAACAATCCCAACTCAAGTTCTTTATTCTGGAGCTTTTAAAAATATCACATGGTCTTCATCAGTGGAAAGAGTAAACTTACTTGTCCTGCTGATGGAGATGCTGTTGACTTGCAAGCTGAGTTGTACTGATGATGAAATCTTCAGAGCTAACTGTGCCAGCATGTCATCCATCTTTATGACAACAAAGCAACCTCCATCTTCTAATGAAGACAGTGTGATACAGTTGAAATCCCTACAAAAAAATCATCTAAGCTAATATTCTTATTGTACATGTTAATAGAGAATTGCTAGTAGCAATTAGCATCCATTTCTACAAAATAAATGTTACTTGATACTATGTAGAAGCCAAAACACAAAATACACAAAGAATAGAATCAAAGTAGACATTTACATGCTACAAACATAAATACTCACAGACTTAGACTTTCAAATGCAGGTGAATGTCAAAAACAGAAGGGACTAACTACTGCAAAAGAGGATTGTTAAATATAAGAAACATATGCAATAAAATCACTCAACAACACAAAACTAGGGTAACTAACTCTAACTCTACTCTCTCTTTTTATTGCCTCAGTGTTCACGCTCCTGCAATGGTGGCTACCGCGTGCGTGAGGTGCGATGTCTTGCTGACAACATTGCTCCAAGTGACAGTTGTGACCCCAGTTTGACCCCAGAGAGCCGAGAAGAATGCAACAAACAACCTTGTTTAGCTGAGATAAGTAAGTCTGCAAGCAGTGTTGTACTACCACCGAGCCATTAAAGGCTGCGTGTCCACTATAAGTGCAGTTGGGTCAGAGATGACCTGGTTGTAGTGAGATTTTTCTGTGATGCTGTTATCGTTGATAATGTTGCCGTGGCTGTGTCCTGCTGTCTCAACCAGAAAAAAGGGGTTGTAAGGAAACATGTAGGAAAAAGATAATGTTTTTTTTTTTTTTAAATTCATGTATCAAACATTTAAAACTTGTATGCAAGAAGGTTTGTGGAACATCGTAATGCTAATGGACTGTCAACAGTTTTCACTGGTGAGCATATTCTGCATTGTTTGGTTAATGGAAGCACTACTATTAAAGTCCACATGAAATAAAAAATGCATTTTTAACCTTTTAAAGTCATAAAACTGGACCATATTTTATGGAGACAATATTGTTTGGTTTTACCTCTGCCTCAACTCTAACTGGTAATGTAGCTGCCTTTAGCAAATAGGCTTGCGCAGCTACTATAAGCTGACTCAGTCCCAGTGTGCCATGTGCCAAATAATGCAAAACAAATAAATAACAGCACTTTATTCCCTGCCATCAAACTGTCCTCTGTTGGCACTGGAAGCTGCATTTGATCCCAGTCTTGCCATGCTGAGTCAGCTAATGGTTCCGCTATTGCTGCTTGAGAGGAAGACATACCACACAGTGCTACTGGCATAGCTGCCTGTTTTTACTAAATATGTGTTATTAGCAGAAATGTATGTATATATGTGTTTACACATTCCTAAAAGTCATAGGGTTCCTACTATTTAAAGAAAAGAAATAAATCATTTCCCAGGACTTTTGAGGGGCTAAAATACAATTAAAATGTTCCAGGACAACGTTTATTATTATTGATTATTTCCAGGATATTTGGCCATAATCAATTTGTAGGTGTTTCCATGGCTGGAAAACTGTAATTTCCAGGTTTTCCAGGACATATGGGTATTCAAATTATTTTCTTTTTTAGATTTAAAAAGTCATGTATTTCACAGATGATCAAGGCAGTTTACTGGATATCTTGAGTCACTACACTCTGGTGACTCTGACTCTGACTAAGCATAGCAGTTTAGAAACTGACTTGGAGGCTCAGTGAATTAGCACCAACATTTCCACCGTGACATGATATAGCTAGCCTAAGCAGAAGAGTGGAGTGAATGAGATTGGTGAAAGTTGTTTTGCCTCTCCCATTTTTCTCAGTTTCCCTAAATTGTTCTCCCTTTCCTTCACAGATCCATCATGCAGCGACCAGTATCATAACTGTATGGTGGTGGTTCAAGCCCGACTCTGCATTTACCCTTACTACAGAAGTGTCTGCTGTGCCTCCTGCTCCCGTGCCCAGAACACATACCCCAACGCATTTCAAAAGAACCAAATCCGCAGGTGATGCTGCTACATCACTTCGGGTCACAATTAAGTCTGATAAAACAGCACTGTAAACGTGACATCTAGCTCTGTTGTCACTCTGTGTGCAACCAATTAACTAATCAGCTGCTTTCTTCTGTTTTGTCAACATTGCCACACACACACACCACCACAGCATCAATACAGCTGTTAGGGTGAGATCTTGTTTCATAAGACAATGAATGAATGAAGAATAACCTGAAACTTTCTTAATCTCAAAAAACAGACACAAACACACTTTTTTAAAGAATGTCACCATGTATAGGTTGAAGTTTGATTCTCAGTGTACCTTTGAACTGACTGGTCACATTTGGTGATGTACTTGTATATTTATTCTTAATAAAGGGTGTATAACGTCTTGTATTATTACAGATGTTACAGAAAATATTTAATTGTTTGGTGTTTTCATTATGTCTCAAATCCCTGTTGTATGGTATTAAGATTTTAAATTGTTGAAATGTATGTGAAGTACATCACTAAATACAGCCTGAGTAAAAAAAAA